CCATTGACAGTCCTGCGAGTACGATTATGGCCTTTTAAGTAATTCATGCACGTATTCTGACATCTTTTTTTTTCTTTCTCTCAAAAGCAAGAAGAGGACCTGAAAGCAAAGAATCTCATGCTCACAGACCTTAAATGTACTCACTATTCATAAAATTATAGATAAATATGCAAGAAACATCATCATCAGACAGTATTCTTTCGATTGAGATGACTGGCATGCCATTGACAGTCCTGCGAATACGATTATGGCCTTTCAAGTCATTCATGCACGTATACTGACATCTTTTTTTTTCTTTCTCTCAAAAGCAAGAAGAGGACCTGAAAGCAAAGAATTTCATGCTTACAGACCTTCCATCCATTCACTATTCATAAAATTATAGATGAATATGCAAGAAACATCATCATCAGACAGTATTCTTTCGATTGAGATGACTGGCATGCTATTGACAGTCCTGCGAATACGATTATGGCCTTTCAAGTCATTCATGCACGTATACTGACATCTTTTTTTTTCTTTCTCTCAAAAGCAAGAAGAGGACCTGAAAGCAAAGAATTTCATGCTTACAGACCTTCCATCCATTCACTATTCATAAAATTATAGATGAATATGCAAGAAACATCATCATCAGACAGTATTCTTTCGATTGAGATGACTGGCATGCTATTGACAGTCCTGCGAATACGATTATGGCCTTTCAAGTCATTCATGCACGTATACTGACATCTTTTTTTTTCTTTCTCTCAAAAGCAAGAAGAGGACCTGAAAGCAAAGAATTTCATGCTTACAGACCTTCCATCCATTCACTATTCATAAAATTATAGATGAATATGCAAGAAACATCATCATCAGACAGTATTCTTTCGATTGAGATGACTGGCATGCTATTGACAGTCCTGCGAATACGATTATGGCCTTTCAAGTCATTCATGCACGTATACTGACATCTTTTTTTTTCTTTCTCTCAAAAGCAAGAAGAGGACCTGAAAGCAAAGAATTTCATGCTTACAGACCTTCCATCCATTCACTATTCATAAAATTATAGATGAATATGCAAGAAACATCATCATCAGACAGTATTCTTTCGATTGAGATGACTGGCATGCTATTGACAGTCCTGCGAATACGATTATGGCCTTTCAAGTCATTCATGCACGTATACTGACATCTTTTTTTTTCTTTCTCTCAAAAGCAAGAAGAGGACCTGAAAGCAAAGAATTTCATGCTTACAGACCTTCCATCCATTCACTATTCATAAAATTATAGATGAATATGCAAGAAACATCATCATCAGACAGTATTCTTTCGATTGAGATGACTGGCATGCTATTGACAGTCCTGCGAATACGATTATGGCCTTTCAAGTCATTCATGCACGTATACTGACATCTTTTTTTTTCTTTCTCTCAAAAGCAAGAAGAGGACCTGAAAGCAAAGAATTTCATGCTTACAGACCTTCCATCCATTCACTATTCATAAAATTATAGATGAATATGCAAGAAACATCATCATCAGACAGTATTCTTTCGATTGAGATGACTGGCATGCTATTGACAGTCCTGCGAATACGATTATGGCCTTTCAAGTCATTCATGCACGTATACTGACATCTTTTTTTTTCTTTCTCTCAAAAGCAAGAAGAGGACCTGAAAGCAAAGAATTTCATGCTTACAGACCTTCCATCCATTCACTATTCATAAAATTATAGATGAATATGCAAGAAACATCATCATCAGACAGTATTCTTTCGATTGAGATGACTGGCATGCTATTGACAGTCCTGCGAATACGATTATGGCCTTTCAAGTCATTCATGCACGTATACTGACATCTTTTTTTTTCTTTCTCTCAAAAGCAAGAAGAGGACCTGAAAGCAAAGAATTTCATGCTTACAGACCTTCCATCCATTCACTATTCATAAAATTATAGATGAATATGCAAGAAACATCATCATCAGACAGTATTCTTTCGATTGAGATGACTGGCATGCTATTGACAGTCCTGCGAATACGATTATGGCCTTTCAAGTCATTCATGCACGTATACTGACATCTTTTTTTTTCTTTCTCTCAAAAGCAAGAAGAGGACCTGAAAGCAAAGAATTTCATGCTTACAGACCTTCCATCCATTCACTATTCATAAAATTATAGATGAATATGCAAGAAACATCATCATCAGACAGTATTCTTTCGTTTGAGAGTACTGGCATGCCATTTATAGTCCTACGAGTACGACTATGGCCTTTTAAGTAATTCATGCACGTATTCTGACATCTTTTTTTTCTTTCTCTCAAAAGCAAGAAAAGGACCTGAAAGCAAAGAATCTCATGCTCACAGACCTTAAATGTACTCACTATTCATTTAATAGCCGAAAACTATACCAGAAAAGTCTTCATCAGACAGTATTCTTTCGATTGAGAGTACTGGCATGCCATTTACAGTCCTACGAGTACGACTATGGCCTTTTAAGTAATTCATGCACGTATTCTGACATCTTTTTTTTC